GCAATTGCTACCAAATGGACCCTGTTCTAGGCGGCGGGACACGTTCAAGGAGGGAAGTTCAGTGAGGGAAGCCAGACAGCAAACAATAACAATTTAAATACAGCAAGTGGTAAAAAGTGCTACGGAGAAAAATAAGGCAGAGAAGATTGGTAAAGACGGGGTGCAACACGATGGGGTGGGGGTGCAGTGTCAGTGGAGACTTGCTGAAGAAGGGACGTGGAGCAGAGACGTGAAAAGGTGAAAGCTGAGACTTACAGGTCTACAGTCCTTGAGGGCTGGGTGGACTGCAGTCATCCCTAGCCGGGTGGAATGTAGTTTTGTTGATTATTTATGACCTCACCACCTTGGGGATCAGTTCTTGTGAAGGTAACCCCAAAGCATCATTTTGGATTCATGAGAAGTGGGTGGGGGGCAAGGGGGAGTTGAACACAAAAGATGGGAGTAAACTGCCTTCAGGATGTTAAATTAGCCTGCTACTGCCCCCATCAATTTTTAAGTGTGGCTTAAAGTATTCTACATACACAGTGACCTGAAACCTGACTTCATGAGTAAATAGACCATAGCCTACTATGCAGGGCCTCACACATGCTAGGCAAGTGCTCTACCACTGAGCCACCTCCCTGCTCTGTGACCCGCCCTTGTGACAAGCAGCTAAGCCTGGACCAATCACAAGCAGCCCGCTGCTGAAACCATGCTCAAATAAGATTGGTGAGAGCTGTGTCTCCCTCCTGTGGCCCATAGGTCAGTTCCGGACATTCTGCCCCCTGGCAGAGCAGAGCATGCTGAACCACTCTTGGCAGACTCCTGCCTGGTTTTAAAATCGCAAAGAAAGCCCATTCAGATCTATGAAACTAGATTTGTTGTCATTTTGCCTTTTAACAAGGAAACCTGGGGGTAGCCAGTGTTCCGGCCTGATATTCTCGAGCTTTCTCGTGGCCCCTGAACCTTATAAAAGGAGCCAATGGGTAGCTCAGCTGTGTGGGGGAAGGAGCATCTGTGAGTCCCAGGCTGGCCTCCTGCTTTATGCAAAGCAGCAGACACTTTCTCCCTAAGCGCCCCAGCCCCATCCATAACAGAAGGCTTTGTTCCCTTCAGGGGAAGCCTTTCTTTCCAGCACCTTCCACCACCCTCCTGCCCGACCTGCAAAGGTCACAGACAAGAAGCTGATCTCAGACAGTGGCTTTGGCAGCAGGAGCAAGGCAAACAGGGCAAGTCTGCTTTGCTCTCAGGCCAGCCTTGGAACAAACCCACATCCACGGCCACCTGACCCTCCTTTGTCTTGGTTGAATCAACTTTGGTTCCTGAGTCCATTCATTCATCAAAACTTCCGGCACACCTCTGCGCCAGGCTCAGTGATGGAGACTAAGGTCACAGAAGGATTCAGGCACTATTCCTGCCCTCAAGGAGTCTCCAGATGGGAGAGGGGAGCTCAACACATAACAGCGTGTGCAAGAAAATGCTTCTATTGCCCCATTAGTGGTGTTCACTGGATGCAAAGCCTGAAGATTTAAAGATCTCTAGGACGAGATGCACAACCAGCTCCAACATTTGCAGGACCCAGAGCAACATAAAAGTGCACACCCCTCATTCAAAAATTATTAAACATTGTCAGATACCAATGCAGAGCATTAAGCCACATGCTGGGAACTTCTAAGTGTAGGGGCCTGTGTGACTGCCCTGGTCACACACCAACGCAACCTACCTGGTCCCCAACCTCAAGAAGTTTCCAATCTGATGCAACGTTGAACAGATGATAGCACCTCGTTGTCTTCCGTTTCTTGATCTGTACAATTTGGCTTGTACCTGACCCTTGCAATAAGTTGTGATTGTTCGGTGAGTTATAAATCCATAAGAGCTGGCACATTTGCCTAGCATGCATCGAGCCCTGAGTTCAATTCCCAGCACAAATAAATAAATAATTTTCCTTGAACAGAAAAAAACAGAGTCGACCCTCTCTAAGTCATAGTTATTTTTATTCTGATAAGTTCAAAAGAGGGGAGGAAGGGAAGGAATACTTCCAAGCACAGCTTCATTAGAAGTGAGGTTGAGTGGCCAGGCATGGTGACACACGCTTGCAATCCCAGCTACTCGGGAGGCTGAGGCAGGAGGATCCAAGTTCAAGGCCAACGCTGGCAATTTAGCAAGACCCTGTCTCAAACTAAAGTAAAAAGAGTGAGGATGTAGCTCAGTGGTAGAGCAAGAATCCCTGAGTTCGAACTCCAGTGCGAGAAGAAAAAATAGTGGTTCTGAGTGAACTGTACTTAGAAAGATAGATTAGATAGATGGATAGATGGTAGATAATAGATAGATAGATAGATAGATAGATAGATAGATAGATAGATAAGCAGGCCTCCCTCCTGGGCTCCCAATGACCCTCTTCCTGCCTGTGCGCATGGTCTTTCCCCTGTGAGCACACACCCCTGTGTCTCTGTGTGTCCAAATTCCCTCTTCTGATAAGGGCACCAGGCCAAGAAAACTGCCACTTTTTTATCCAATCCCCTCTCTAAAGATTCTATCTCTCCCTCCAGTCACATTCTCAGACGCTGAGGGTTAAGACTTCAACATTTGAATTTTAGGGAAAACCACACAGGCCTTAACAACCTGTGCCTCAGGATACCTAGGGTAATTGTACTACTAATATCTGTTGGTTTGTCGAAAGGAACTGTAAATGTGTAATTGTTTGATCAGTCTTACATGCCTGTATCTGGTTATACATGCAACCATTTTGAAGATGACATTAGATAATATAACAACCATTGTTAATATCCTATCACCATGTTTTGAAGTTCTGCATTATTATTCTCTATGCTCTGTTGTTTATGTGTTTGTTTTTGTTAGTTTGGGGTGTTTTTTAAATGAAAAACAAAGTTTATATGTATATATAAAGATAGCTGGGATAGGTGTATTGCTGATGTCTGTGGTTTATTGAGAAGAACAGTCAATGCTTAAAATTTTCTTTTTTCTTGACCAATTTTGCACGCTTGAATCTGGTAATCAGAATGACTGATCTGAAAACAACAATATGCAGTATAAGAACCACTGCTGAACTCCTGCCATCTTGTATGGTGAAGCTCTGCATCATTTCCAATGTTTCTTTTTATTACTTGTTACTGTCTTTGACTGTTTGATCAATCTTACATTCTTATGTCTGGTGGACTGAGCAACTTCGTTGAAGATAACAGTATGTAATGTAGCAACCCTTGTTAATTCCTATCATTTTGTTTTGAGGTCATGTATCATTTTTGTTGTTTTTGTGTTGTTTTGATTTTGTCTTCATTGTTTTTTTTTAATTTTTAAAATTAAAAAAATTTTTTAAAAACCTGTGCCTTTCTAAAATGTCAAGGTCACAAAAGACAAAAAAAAAAAAAGACCAGATTAAAAGAGTCAAAAGAAACGTGACAATAAGTGACACATGTACTCTTGGACTGGCTCCAGGACCAGGGAAGAATATGTTTTTCTTGGGTTATAAAAGATGTCAGGGGCACAACTGGTGAAATCTGAACAAGGTCAGTAGATTATGTAATTGTATCAAGGTCAATTTCCTGATTTTGACAAAAGTGTTACAGTATGTCATAAAAAGTCCTTGATTTTAAGAAATATGCACTGAAGTACTTGAGACTTTCAGGCAGTTATGTCTGCAATGTACTCTTAGAAAGAAAGGTTTTAAGTGCACACCTGTAATCCCAATACTCAGGAGGCTGAAGCAGAAGAAAGCAGCTTTGAAGCCAGTCTGGGCTATATAGCTAGAGCCTTTCTGGAAGGAAAGAAGGAGGGAATGAAGGAAGGAAGGAAGGAAGGAAGGAGGGAAGGAAGGAAGGAAGAAAGGAAGGAAGGAAGGAAGGAAGGAAGGAAGGAAGGAAGGTGGAAAAGGAGGGTGGAAGAGGGGCAAAGGGGAGGGGAGGGAGTTAGGTTGCAGATGTATAAACGGATAAATAGATGATGAATGGTTGGATGGATGGATAAGAGATGGGTAGATCCATAAAGCAAATGTAAAATATTAATATAAGGGTAAAGGCTATGCAGGAATTCTTGGCTCTATTTTTGCAACTTTTCTGTCTTTTCAGATTTACACTTCAAAAACCTTTAAACATTGAGCTATACACAAGTAGGCCACAGGTTATTGCCCAGGGAGCAGTAAGGCAGGGTCAGGGAAGTAAGTCCATGTCCATGGTCTTATTAAGACCCCTGCAAGACAATAAATATAACCTTCCTTTCCAACCTGAGGAAACAGAGACATGGAATGCTTAGCTCTCTTGCCCAAAGTCCTTTCAGGATTTTTAAAGCAGCACCCACTTCCAGGCACCCTGACAGGCGGGGCAGCTACCTTTCACTCATTCTGTCCCAACTGCCACCCTTACCACCCAAAGCAGCCACCCCCCGGGGGTGCCGTGGGGGCAGGTAACCACTGCTGCTTCTACAAACCTGTTGTTTTTTCTGGGTCTGAAAACTTGAGGGTTGGTCACAGCCCCTTCTGGCCCCAGAAATGGTCAGCATTCAACTAAGATGAAGCAAAGACCCAATGTGATCTGGACAAAGTGTTTTTATAAACTTATGAAAAGAGGCCTTATTAGAAAGGACTCAGGCAGGAGGCAGGCAGGGGGTTTGTGACGCGTCTGATCATTTTTCTGCAGGCTCCTGGCAAGCAGTGATCATTAGCAGATTTTGTTCTGGGTAAGCTCAGTGTCGGCTCCACATTACAGGATTTTATGGGATTTATGCGCACGACTTTCCTACAAAGCAAGGCATTATAGGATGGATTAGGCAGTTCCAAGAAGCAAAGGTCCTGGCTCCTTCTCGGTCTTATTTTTTTAGGAGAGTTTTTTTTAGATGACCACGGTCAGGCGTTCTGTGCCTCACACCAGGACTTCCGTGTCCTGCTGGCCATAAAACAGCCCACCTCAACAAAAAGACTATTAAGTGGATTTTTCTTAACAAAAACTCATTATAAAGCACTGAGTATATGTAAAAACATTAAAAGAAAATAAAAATCACACACCATGTTCTCATCCAGAGACAAGCAGCATAGCATTCTGGTGAGTCTTTATTGATTTTTCCTGTATGCAGGCGTGTGTGTGTGTGTGTGTGTGTGTGTGTGTGTGTGTGTGTGTTCACAAAGACAGAGGCAGGGAGCAAACTCCAAACTTTCTGGGCAGGGAGCAAACTCCAAAGCAATAAGGATGAGCTTTGAAGCAAACCTGAGCCACATTCTAAGTCCATCCTAGTTTATGAGCTTCCCAGGTTGTTTAACCTCTCGTTCTACAGCTGTAAAACCAGGCCATGGCTCCTACGTCCAGGGTGTTGTTTTGATTACAATGAGAATATTAATTTACTGTACTGCCTTGTGCACAATAAATCCCAACCCAATGGTAAACAAATAAATAGAAACTTGTACTTTAGGTATTACTTTGCCAAAAATGGGATCATACTGGTAACTCCATTTCATATCCTAATACTTTCCCTGCTATGAATATGGGGAAATGGACTTCTGCTATAGTTTGGAGGAGTCTCCCACCAAGGTCCGTGTGGGAAAGGCTTCATGCCTAGGCTGCTGCTATTGGAAGGTGACAGGTCCTTAGGGTGCTGGGGATGCACCCTTAAAGGTGATCATGGGATCCTGGTTGCTTCCTGTCCCAGTTTGCTTCTTCCAGGCTCATCGAGCGCACCCCTATGTCATGACGTGCTGCCCTCACTGAGGCCCAGAGCCATCAGCCCCTCGTCTTTGCCTGGCACCTCCAAACCGCGAACCAAAGCACACTTTTCTAAGTTACTATCTCGGGCATTTCATTATCGTGATGGAAAGTTGAGTGTGATTCTTCCAAAGTATTAAATTCCCAATTATACCTTGCTTTCTAGGCTGCATTTTTAACGATGTCATCTATTGTCCACGTCACACGTTTTTCGTTTTTGCTGCTGTGGGTTTCCTTCCTGGCAGCCTGCTGGGAGCCCAGCAAGCACCTGACAGATGTTGTAGATTCTCAACTTCCAGAGGACTGGACTGTTTGCTTCTGTGGCCCATCAACACCACTTAAGGGCTGGGGATTTAGCTTAGCGGCACAGCGCCTGCCTGGCAAGTGCAAGGTCGTGAGTTCGATTCCTGGTACTGGAAAAAAAAAAAAAAACACCACTTAAATCTGCGCAATTTGCAGTGGTCCCTGCTTTCTGTGTCCATTGCTCATCTGTTAAGTGGGGGCAGCCACAATGTCCCTTGGCAGAGGCTGTTATGGCTACATAATGACTGACTGGGTCAACTTGAGTAAATAACACCCAACTAAACTGGCTCAGCATAGTTCAGGGTGTGGAAGGGAGGACTGTCGCCAGAAAGCTATAAAAGGGAAACAAAGAAAGAAGGATTGCTCTGTTTCCTTCGGAGGAGCTCCAGCATTGCTTCAGCTTAGACGTCATCTCCTGGCTTCCAGCATACTCTCCAGCCTTCTGGGGCAAACCCTTAGGCCTCCTGATAGGAGCTCACACAGGACACTACATGGAGCCGCAGGCCTCCCACTGGATCCTTCACATCCCCAGTACACAGAAAGACCTTTCGCGCTTTTCCACACCCAACTCTGGCGGCCATCGTAAGCCAATCTATAAATTGTTATGTATCTGTATACTTTGTAGCATATCCATTTCTCTAGCAAACACTGACAGACACAGGCTAAGTGAGATGATCCAAATGAAACACTTGAGCTGGTACCTGGGACATGCTCAGTAACCAGTAAAATGATTATTAAGTTTATGAAGTCTGAGACTTAATCTTCTTCTTTCTCCAGTACTGGGAATTGAACCAAGAACCTCGCACATGCTAGGCAAGTGCTTTACCACTGATCTACAACCCTAGCCCTTTTTATTTTGAGACAGGATCTTGATAAATTGCCTGGGCTGGCCTCAAACTTGTGATTCTCCTGCCTCAGCCTCCCAAGTTGCTGGGATTATAGGTATGCACTATTTAGCACGATTGGCTTTTGTGGGTTTGGTTTTCTTGGAGGATCATTTGGTTTTGGCTTTGATTTTGGTTATGATTTGGTTTGGTTTGCATATTTTGGTCCTGGAGATGGAATCCAGGCCTTGTGGATGCTAGCCAAGGGCTCTACCACTGAGCTACGCTCCCCCCTGAGGCATGCTTTTCATATTACAAATGCATGTGCTTCCGTCTGGCTGCATTATGCTTGTTTTTATAGAATGATTGGGGCCGGATACAATAGGACATTGACAGGGCTTTTCTTTTTTCTTTTGGGAAAGGGTCTCAATATGTAGTTCAGACTGTCCTTGAACTCACTTATGTAGCCCAGGCTGGCCTTGAACTCACCGTGATCCTCCTGCCTGGGAGGAGCCTCTGTGGAGTGGAACCTTGGCCTGCGGGCAGCACCTCCCACTGCCATGCCCACTGAGAGCCAGCCGGCTGAATGTGGCAGAGGACACAGGTGGCTGACTGTGATTCGCCAGTACTGGGAATTGAACCAAGAACCTCACACATACTAGGCAAGTGCACTTGCACCGTTTCTCTAGCAAACATTGACTGACACAGGCTAAGTGAGATGATCCAAACGAAACACTTGAGCTGGTACCTGGGACAGTAGAGAAAGTGCACCCAGCATGCACTTGCAGAGACAGGCAACTCACATCTGTCTCTCCACCATCATTTGAGACCCCTCATAACAAATGTCAAACACCATAAATCCTGCAAGGGGTCCATTGTCCAGAGGTAGCCAGGTTTAGCTCCAGGATCCCAAGTGATACCCTCAAGGTTCTAACTCCTGCTTGGCCGTTTACACCCTGGGGTCTTGGGCAAGCTGCTTACCATTTGCCGGTCTCGGTGTCCTCACCTGTTAGGTCGAAGTAAGACATGGACTTAAAGAGCTGGAAATGGCACCTGGAGTTGGCAGTCACTGAATAAAGCTCAGAGAGTTGGGAAGACTTGAATCACCATTTGACTTGGTTTTAGTCCATTTTCTGTTGCTATAACTGAAAACTCCAGACTTGGTAAAGAAAAGACATTTATTGGACTCAGGATCTGAAGGTCAAGATCAGGTAGCCATATCTGGTGAGGTTCTTCCTGACCATGGGACACTCTACCAAGTCCCAAATTAGCACAGAGCCTCACACGGACAGAGGGACTGCAAATCCTCTCCTCCTTTGCCTTCCTCCTCCTCCAGGAAATGGAGTCTCACTATGTCACCTATGCTAATCCCAAACTCCTAGGTTCAAGTGACCCTCCTGTCTCAGCCTCTCAAGTAGCCAGGATGACTTGTACATACCATGTCTGACTTCTTTTCTTATAAAACCACACTCCCACAGGATTAGGGGCCTGCGTTACAGCCTTGTTTATCTTTAATCACCTCCTGAAGGTCCCACCTCCTCACGTCATAGTGAGAGTAAGTTTCACCCTCTCGTACCTCGCAATGGGGATTAAATACCAACATGAATTTGGGTGAAGACATTCAAACCACAGCAGACTCTCAGGTCACTGATTTTTGAAAGCCTCTCAATGAAATTCAGTCTCTTCAGTGGCCCTTTACGTCTTACAGTGGACATGAACTTGAGTCAGTCTTATAAATGGATTTCCAGAAAGCCCACAGGAAAGAAGATTCCGATCTGGGCACCTCTCCATTGAGGATGTGACTGTCTGAGGTCTCTTGGCCACTTGAAGTCCTGACCCACAGCCCCCCAGGGATCAACTCTGGCCTTTTCCTGCCAGCCTGCACGTCAAATGGTGGTTCTTACACGTCTCACTGGGTGGAAAACCATCAAAACCGGAACAGTTTGTGGCGTGTGACAGTTGCATGAAATCCACATTCCAACGTCTGTACACAGCACTCTGCTGGAGCCCAGCCACGCGCGTTCATCTGCGAATCATCCCTGGCGGCTTTCAGGCTATAACAGCAGAGGCGATTGTTGCAACAGAACCCGGACGGCCCGCAAAGCCCCTGCAGAAAAGGCTCACAACTCAGGGTGAGGGGAGAGGACCTAGCACTGCCACTGCCCCAGCTGTGTCCCCTCTACGCTCGGGTTCCACCTTGCCACAGAGTGTGGTCTCTCAGGACACAAAGCCCGGGGGAAGGACCCCAAAACCACTGAGCATCCTCCCCTGCCAGGCCCTGGACCAGGCCATTCCAAGACATCATTCCAATAGAGGTCACATTTCTACCTTTGGGATGACAAAACCGGGGCTCTGAGAGGTCAGTCATCTGCCTAGTAAGCAGCACAGCTTGAATTTCTTGCCAACTCCAAACCTCACCCTGGTTTAGAATTATTTGACTGACCCAGGGGCAGGAGACGGGTGAGGGCCACTAGGTGCCTTGTGATCTCGGCCCAAGCTATGTCAGGTGACACAGCTACAGTCTGGGCCCGTTACTGTGCTCAGAACCCCACAAAAACACATGTCCCACACATGTGTGTTCCTGCCACGTTCCCAGTCTCAGCTCCAGGCTGTGTTTTCACCCAACCCTGGCAGCCAGAATAAACACAATCAGCTCAGCGTCCACTCACCCAGAGCTCCAGGACCCCGGAAGAGAGAGCCTCAGCCTGTGCCCATGAGGGATGGAAGACACAATGCAAGGAAAAATGTGTGTGTGTGTGTGTGTGTGTGTGTGTGTGTGTGTGTATAGCAGGAATGGTTCCAAAGGGAACCATTCTGCCTTCCCTGTATGCATCCCATCCTCTTGGCCAAACTTAGCCAAACGGAAAGGGGGCCTTCATGCCACATATTCTGTGTTAGGAAGAGGAAGTATCTTACAGTGATCTTAAATTGTCTCTGGGCTTTGCAGATCAGCTTTCCTGGGTACCCGGGTGCCCAAGTGCCCACATCACAGCAGTTTCTGCCCATCTGAAGCCTGTCTTCTTGTCTGCTTTCTTGAGCCAGGCAGGCCACCAAGCAGTTCCAGCTCACATGGCCCCCACTATCCATCCCTGCAAAGACCCGCAAAGACTGCCCACTTTAAACCTTGTGTAACACTTTCCACCAGCTTGTTCTGCTCAGGGGAAAGAGGCCAGTCCTCAGATAAAGCTATGCGTGTCCATGTGTGATCAGGTGTGTGTGTGTGTGTGTACACTCACGTAGGTGTTGAGGGTATCAAAATTACTGGTATTAAAACCCTTTTTCAGAGCCCCGGGAGCGGGGTTGATGGTATAGTTCAGCAATACAGGGCTTGCCTAGCACGCACCAAGACCTGGGTTGAATCCTCAGTAGTCCCCAAAAAATAAGAGCTGGGGGGGAAGTGCAGGGGGTGACAGAGTGGCCCAGTGTTCAGCACTAGTTTGGACTCTTGGGTCCTTAAGAGCAAGGGGATCCCTGGGAGGTCCCTGAGCTAGGCTCTGGGGCTCCAAGTCCATGTATCATGGCCCTGGCAGCTTGGGCGCCGTTCCTGGCCTGCGCAGCCCCATATCCACGCTGCAGACAGCGAACACACAGGCTTCAAAGATGTAGGTCCCATCCCATCTTCCCTCCGCTCACTTGACGCCCCTCCCAATGGCTCCAGGCACACCGTGGACACCCGATCTGGCAGTTCTAACTCTTCCATGAGCACTGGAGCTCCTGGAGCTCTTGCCGGATAAAATACAGTCCTGGGAGCCTACATTTCTAATGCTGTTCAGGTGATGCTGATGTCATAGGCCAAGGGGCCCCCCGAAGAGCTAACCCTACCCTCCTCCTGTCCCACCCCACCCACTTCCTCATGGGCTCCTGCCTCCCCATCCTGCCTGCTGCTCCAGCCCCCAAGCATGCCCTGCCTTGGGACTTCCGTCCCCCCAGGAGGACCTCCCTCACCAAGGTCGTCAGGGTCACTCCCACTCACTCGGGTCTCTACTCAAACTTCACCTCTGAGAGGCCTCCCCAACCACACTGCGTGAGACAGCTGCGCTCCCACGCGCAGCACGCCGCACCTGCTCCATCCCCGCCCCCCCACCTCACCCCTCCTTTTCCGTGGCCTGGCAGTGCGCTCCGCCTGACAGCGGAGGAGGCCAGCTGGTGAGGCCAGGGCTTGCTTCTCGTTCCCCTGCCAGCTCCTCGGCATCTAAAAGAGAATCCCTGACTCTCAGCGCCTGCTAACTATGCGACAAGTGAATGAAGACACACCTTTAAGACATGTCTCACGGCCTCTGCTCCTGAGGCGTGGCTTCAGGGACTTCACTTTTTCCCTGGGGAATAGCAGATCCGACTTTACTTACAAAACACAGGGTGAAGGGAAAACCACGAACTCCAGACTGTGCGAAGGGCATGAACCCAAACGAGGTGCCCCTCTGATCACGGGGCCCTGAGCAACTGCACACACAAGTCACACGTCCTCGAAACCACCTGGCCCACCCTACAGCAGCTCCCAGCCCCAAGTGAGATTCAGATAAAAGCAGTGGGATGGTGCTGCAGGGGAAGGAAATACAGGGGCCAACAGAAAGGAGCCCTGGACCAGACTAGGTGGATAGGGAGCCAGGAGAAATAAGTAGGCAGGATTCCTGGAAAAGCCCCAAGAGAGCTAACGTAAATCCTGCAGGTTAAAAAGGGGTTTACCCAGCCTTGGGAAGGCGGGGTGGGAAGTAACCTGTAACACGAGGTCGGGCCCTCTCTGCCCTACAGCACTCTGGAAGTGTCTTCAGACCACTAAATACAAATCTGGCCTTTTTGCAAGCGATGGAGCTGGCTCTCAGCAAAATCGGCCCCCGGGGATCAGGGACCATGTCACCATGCAAGCCGGAGCTGAGCCCAGTATGGCGGTACACAGCTGCAATCCCAGCTACTCGGGAGACTAGGGCAGGAAGATCAGGAGTTCAAGCCCAACCAGGACAATTTAGTGAGACCTTGTCTCAAACTAACAAGGGCTGCTGGGCCGGGGATATAGCTCAGGGGCACAAGTGCCTGCCTAAAAAGCACAAGGTCCTGAGTTCAGTTCCCGGTACCAAATAAATAAATAATAGAAAGGGCTGAGAATATAGCTCGGAGGTAGAACTCTTGCTTAGCATAGAGTCAATCACAAGGACTGCAAAAACAAACAAACAAATACCACTGGCATTTACTGAGCTGTGCAGTGGCCAGCTGCCTGATTAAAGATCTCCCAGGACTACAGCGTTACCCTGGGGTTTATCCTCCCCTTCAAATGAGAAAGCTGAAGATCAGAAAGAGGAAGTGACTGCCTAAGGAAGCCGTACAGGGAAGTAGCCAAGGGGCATCTGAACCAGAGCTGCCCAACTGCAAGGCCAGAATCACGGCCACACATTCCTCTCTGACCCATCCACCTTACCTGAGGGGCCTCACCCAGAAGACCCGTGAGGATGACTGAAGGAATCAATCAGAGGGCAGATGTTTAAATGCACCCCTGCTCCTCCAGCTTCCGTCTCCTCCACGTTAGGTACCTGTGGAGCTCATGAGAGCCACCAACCCAAAGAGGGGAGAGCTTGACCAGTGGCAGAAGAGGCAGCCAAAGCTTCCTGCAGGAGCTGGGTGTACCCTGGGTCCACAGAGGGGCTGCGCTAGAAGTCAGGGTACCGCACTCAACAACTACCTGCCTGGCCTGCATCCAGATTCCTGGTCCCCCATCCGAGGACACTGTTCTGAAGTCTCGGACCAGCTCCTTGGTGGATCCTCTTCCAGTGGTCTGAGGTCTGTATGTTTTGAAAGACATCAGTGGGGGCTGGGGATTTAGCTCAGCGGCACAGCGCCTGCCTGGCAAGCACAAGGTCGTGAGTTTGATTCCCGGCACCGGAAAAAAGCCAAAAAAAAAAAAAAAAGAAAAGAAAGACATCAATGAAGTAGATAAAACACAAGCATTTACCACAGGTTCAAATCCCACTACCTCTTCATAGCTGCTCTGTCTTGGAGGAGTGACTTTCTTAACTTCTGCAAGGCTAGGTAGAAGGCAGAGCTTGAGGCTCATGTTTTTAACACTCGGCTTTGGGGTCCCAGCCATCAGCTGCAATGGTAGTGACAAAAGTGCTTTGTAAAGGACAACACATGAGCTTTCAAGTTCTTGGTGCTGGGATGGAACCAGCAGCAGCGGTCAGGGAGCCGCTAGAGCCTAAGGGCCGTGCAGGACCAGATCTCTGGGCTGGCTCCGTCTCGCCCCATGGCCGCTTCCTCCCTCCATGCACAAAAGCTGGAAGGCTGCTCAGCCATGAGCCGGGCCCTCGAACCTCCCTGGCCATGCTGCCCGGCAAGGCTGAGTCATGGAAAAAGTTAGCTCTCCAGGCTGCCGCGCACCTCTCCCCTCCCGTTCACAAAAGCTCCTTTCAAGGTTTCAGGGGGGGGAGTGAACACATTGAGGGGCCTCCTCCCAGCTTGGGATGTGAAATTTCAAACTTCACCCTGGAGTTCAATCCCACATCTCCTGCCCCAAGAAACAGATAGGAGGGGCACCAAGGGCAAAGGATAAAGGGTGGGAGAGAGGGGTAGGGAAGGACGTGTCCCATGCAGCCGTCACTGCAGCCAGGCCACAGAGACCCTCAGGGGACCCCGCCCAGCACCTCCACTCTCTTCTCCGGGGCTTTTCTGGACGGCAGTGGAGGCTGCGACAGCCCCTCTCTGGGCAGCTGAAGTTGGAGAAGAGCCCCAGGCTCGCAGGGGTGCCCGGCCCACAAAACCACATCCTGAAGGTGGACCAAGTAGAAACAAGGGCACTGTCTACCCCAGGCCAGCTCCAGATCTGCCGGTCCTTGTTGGAATTGCCTGACGGTGTTCCTTCTTCCTCCGATTTAACCCCAAACAAAACGGGGAGCCCCCTGTATGGCCTCGCAGGAGTCATTCGGATTGGCTAGGCCTCTGTTTCCTCCTGTATCGAATGGATGCCCACCTCCCAGGCTGGTAAGGAAATTCAACGAGATGGGGGCTGGGGATTTAGCTCAGCGGCAAAAGCGCCAGCCTGGCAAGCGCAAGGTCGTGAGTTCAGTTCCCGATACCGGAGAAAAACCAAAAAAAAAAAAAAAGGAAATTCAACGAGATGGACCCTGCCTTTGTGAAGGTCCATTTGGGTTCCTGTCTCCTTCCCATCCCGGCCCGGCCTCCATCCTGAAGTCCCACCCAAGAGACACGAAAGTGTGACCTAGGGACCCGCCAGCTGGTCAGGCATCCGAACAGGATGGGATGGCTGCTGGGGTGAACCTGCTTCTCTGAGAATGAGTTGCCGGCTACCTCTGCGCTTTAGTGTCCTCCCCATGAAACAGTGGGGGCAGCGGCTAGGACCTCCACAGGGCCTCCCAGCCTTGGGGTGTTAATCCCACGCTGGGAGAAAGGCCTGGAAGTAAATCGAGTTAGCAGGACCCTAGGCAGCCGGAGGCTGGGGCCGCTTGGAGGCGCAGTGTCCTATCTGAGCCACTAGGCGGCTCCGAGGATCACAGATGAGTGCAGACCGCCAGAGCGCGGCGGTGGGGTCTCTAGACTTCAGCCCTCTCTGCAGGCCTGGCGCGGCTGGTGGGAAGGGCCTGTCTCTCCCAAGCTGGGATTTCTGTCCCATCTTTATAGACGTGGAAGATGGGAAGAAAAGGTCACCGTGGTGGAGTCCTGGGAACAGATGAGGGCGATGGCCTGGCCTTGGCTCATCCTTCTGGAGGGTGGGATGGAGGCTGGAGGGAGTCTGCTCTCAGTCCTTGGCAGAGCCTCACGCTCCACGTCTCTCTTCCCTTCTTGCCAGAGCCGGGTGGGGTGGGAAGAGGAATTAAGTCTGGGGTTGGATCTCTCCCTTGTGCACTTCCTGGCGGGGTAACCTGGAAAGTGGGATGATAATGCAAGGTCAGTGGGAGGACTGTCAGGCCTCCCAGGGCGAGAGAGTTTCTTTCTAACCATCCTCCCTTCCGCTCTTCCAGAGGCTCCCAATTCACCTGGAAGAAAGACCCCCTTCTGCCAAACTGCCAACATCTCCCAAGAACCACAGCGTCTTTGTAGGGGAACCTTCCTCCCCAAGTCAGCCTTTCTCAAAGTGGCTTTCTCACCAGGCAGAGCACCAAAAGTACCCATTTCAGGTAGGTGTGGTGGTCCACACCTGTCACTGCAGCATTCTGGGAGGCTGAGGCAGGAGGACTGCAAATGCAAGGTTTGTCTGGGCAACTTAGCAGGTTAGGGAGAGCCTGTCTCAAGGGATATAGGGCTGGGAATGCAGCTCAGTGCAAAGGCCTTGGGTGCAATCTCTAGTACAAAAAAAAAAAAAAAAGAAAGGAAAAAAAAAAAAGACACCCAAGGTGGGGCATTGGAATCTCTGGGGCGGAGGCCCAGGACTCCGGGTCTGAACAAGTCCCAGGCTGGCTGGAGAGGGCTGCCCCAGATTACAAGGCAGCTCCCTGGCTCCTCTCCCTCCTCGCCCAGGGACGTGCAGAGGGGGCGGGAGGCAAGTCCCATCAGCACTTTTAACTGGGGCTGTTTCTTCATGACTCACCTCCCAGACTTCCTGCAGCCGACAACCCTAAATAGCTCAGTCCCACCCTCTCGCAGGGAGACGTTCCTGCTGGGGAGGGCAGGAGGTTACAAGGTGGGTGCCGATGGGGCAGCCCAGGGGGACCCAGGGAGCAGAGCCGCTGCCTGCGCTGCACAGGGCTACAGGTTTAAGACGTTTTGTTTACAGGCTTTTGTTATTAAGGAAATTGCTGTCAGTCAAGGTAATTCTAACCCCGATGAGCAATAAATATGCTCCCAGCTAATCTTATGGAGATTTTATTGGCACCCGGGGCAGAGAGGCTCCTTTACTCTGCCCACCCCCTCCCCTCAAAGCAAAAGCAAAACCTCGGCGGTTCCCCCACCCCCACCCATCAGCCATGCGTGGGACTCGGATCAGACTGAGAAAGTTGCACTCTGCGAAGACAGAAGAGGTCCGGGCAAAGGTGGGGCGTGACTTCCTGGTCGTACCTGGAGGCTGGGGATGACCAAGTGACCTGAAATAAACCCTGGGCGACCTGGTTGATTCAAGGCATGCGCGAGCTCGCGGGGGTGGTCACCTGGCCCGGGCTGCGAGGAATGCCTCCGGGAGGGGCTGGCTCGCTGGAGTCGGTTCCAGCGCGTTCGAGTTCCAGCTGCGTGCCCTCGGGGACACCGGCGGCAAGTCGCGGCTTGCAGCGACGGGAGCCAGTCCCGGGAGAGCGCGAGTCTCGGCGAGCCCGGGAGCGCGCCCGGGCGCGCGCCCCGCGACGGTGCAGGGGGAGGGGAGGTCCCTGCAGCCACTCAGAGGAACGGTAGTGAAGCCTCGGAACAACTTTAACTGTCAATCAGACTTAATGGGGTATTAAAAAAAAAATGGAGAGGGGAGGGCCGTTCTCTTGCTCCGCGCCGGAGCCGCCCCGAGAGCGAATGAATAAGGCCGCGCAGACAAGGGTGTCCGATCCACGCGCGCTCCACACCCGGGCCCTCTCCAAGTTGGAAAGGACAAAAAGAAGGCAATAAATGCTAAAAGGAAGAGAGAGCGAGCCGGATCGAGCGGCAACTCCCAGCGTCTGCTGGAACAGGAGGAGCGAGGCAGCCGGAGGAGCGAGCGCGCGCGAGGCCGAGCCCTGCGCGCCGAGACCCGGACCCCGGACCGCGCTCCTCCTGCGCGCTGCTGGCAGTCAGATCGCGTTTGAGCAATTTCCTGAGCCCAGGAACAGCAATGAGCCGGGAGACTTTCGCGAGCTGAAACTGGGAGCGCTAAGCACTTTTCCTCCACTTTTTCCCCCTGGAGAAGGGGGGGAGGGCGCTACAATTTGGAAACGGCTTTTTTTTTTTTTTTTTTTTTTTTAATCGTGCACTTTGGAACCGCGGTGCTGGGCAGGGTGCGCGCGTGCGACTGGTGCTTTTTTCCCCCCCTCCCCTTCCCTGCCTAAACTCCTCTGTCAGTCTGTAAACATTACCTGAGAATTCCCCGGCCGAAACGGCTGCTAGGGCAAGAAACTTCTTGTCAGAACTTCCCACCTCCGACTTCCCCGCCACCCCTCGCTCCGTCCCGACCTACGGAGACGCTTTTTCTCCTCCCGAGGAGGATTTATCTTTTAATTTTATTTTTTTTAATTTTACCCCTTTTTCTCACTCGGTGGATTGTTTTTGGAGAGAGGTCATTACAAGAGTAGCCAAGCGGAACGCCTCTCTCCTCCGTATTCGGGTTATTGATTATTGTTTGGGGTGTTTTCTTAATTCCTGTTTTGCTCGGTCCGGGGAGTTTCGCCCCCTGCCCTGCTGCGCGGCGCGTAGGATGGTGTGGAAATGGCTGGGCGCCTTGGTGGTGTTCCCCCTGCAGATGATCTATCTGGTGGCGAAAGCAGCCGTCGGACTGGTGCTGCCCGCCAAGCTTCGGGACCTGTCCCGGGAGAACGTCCTCATCACCGGCGGAGGGCGAGGCATCGGGCGCCAGCTCGCCCGAGAGTTTGCGGAGCGCGGCGCCAGAAAGGTACGGGGCGCGGCGACTCCAGGGCGGGCGCGCTGCGGGCAGGGGACCACCGGTGCAGGGTGCGCCCACCTGCTGCGGCTGCTGGAGCCGGGAGTCGCGGGCCATCCGGCTCCTCTGAGCCACCAGCCAGTGCTGAGCTGGTCGGTTTCACCTTGTAAATTTTCCGGGCACCCAACTGTGTTTTGTCAGGTTCGGAGCCGTTCCGCTCCTATGGGGATGGGTGGCTGGCTAGCTATTTACCCCCACCTCCAAACTTAGGAGACCCACCCACCTCCGCCTTCCTCCCTCCCTAAGGAAAGTGTTGGGTGTCTTCCCCCACCCCCAGCCCTGCGCGCCCCAACGCTTTCCCTTTTTGCAGCCACCCTGGTGAGTTCAGGGTGTGCGGCCTCTCTGTACAACTGGGAGCCGCCTGCTAGCTGGCGCCTGGTATTTTCCTTGGCAACCCGCTTCCCAGCCCAACCTGGGCGGCTGCAGTTCTGAAAACACAGGAGAGGGATACTTGGCTTAGGCTGGAGAAGGAAGGATCTGTTTGGGATGGTCTAGACCAGCAGGACAGGCACTGGGAAGCCCAGGTGTTTGGAGACCCAGTGCTTCCGAGTAAAGAGTGAGCCAGCTGTCACTGAACTCAGGGCCAGGCTGACTCACACAGTGACAAGAGCAATCGAGAGTGGGATTTGAGGCCGGCAGGGCAGGCCGGGCTGTCTGGCCCAGTGACGAGGAAGATGGAAAATAGGGAATTAGTTTGAAACTTAAACTGTTGCGAACGAGGGGGGCGAAAGGGCCAGCAAAGCCAGCTGATCTGACACGGAGCCACATACCTTGGGGATTAAGTAAATATGTACTGTGGAAACCAAGCCTGCATGTAATTCCAGGTTGCTTTTCTTTTGTTAAATTCTGCCCTGAGATTTACAATTCCTCCGGGGTGGCTCGGACTAGGGCTGAACTTTGGAGTCTGAACTATCAGCCAGAGCTGATTGCCGATTAACTCTTCCCTAGCCAGGCTGCCAGGGGCCTGTGGAGGCCGCGTGAGTGGGGGTCCAGCTGTCCAGGACTCCTTCTTCTTGGGTGGTTTGGACAGCTGCTTGACCTTGCATTTGGAAGGGGATTTCGGAAGTGCTTTTAACCCTTAGGCACATGGAAAAAGAGAAAGAAAGACTGGTTCTCAGCAGTTCCCGTCCTTGAGGTGCTGCCACATTTGGGGCCCCCAAAGTCCTTCGTAGAGGGGGATCAGGGCAGAGGAGGGTACCTTTGGAGAGGGGTTTGGGACAGTTGCGTGTGGTTGTCATTCCTTAGCTGTCTGCACTCTCCAGACTTTCTTCTCACTCCTCAGCTGGCCCCAGTCCTAAGCCCTTCCGCTGCGCTGGTAACCGACTACCGTAGGCATAGGAGGAACTCATAGTCAATCTGGAAAAACTTGACTGACTATAAACAATCCTAGATTAGAGGAAGGACATGGTATTGGGGACGGGTTTAACACAGCAGAATGGAGCCTGCAGGTCCATGCGCTGGAAGCCGTAGCCCCACCTAGCTTAGGAGAGACGCCCTCTTCCAGGGACACCCACGGCCAATTGGGAATACTCTTAAACCGATGGCAGGGTTACCCAAAATAGGATCCACGGGGACCTGTGAAATTTCCAGTGCCACTCAGGCTAGGCTCAGCCACTGGACCAGGCGGGATGACCACGAGGGCTCCCTGTAGCTCATAATGATCTGACCAATTACTGGAGCTACTTTCTAATGAGCCTTCCGCTTGCTCTCACGGTGAGGAATTTGGAGTCTCAGCGTCTTGCCTGAGTGCCTCTCTGGGGCCAGTGAGTGGACTTTGGGAGCACTCCCAGGGCCGCAGAGTTTTGGGGTGGGGGACTTAAGGGAGAGAGCTGGCCAGCTTGGGGACACAGGTTTGAACGTGGGCGTGAGGGTGGTCCAGGAGCCTACGTGAGAGAGTTGAGGTGGGTCAGTGCCACCTGCAGGCTGAAGGGACATCAGAGAGGCTTCTTCCCCTGGGAGAAGGAGAAGCTACCCCTTGTGCCTGGATTCTAGTGGGACTGGATCTTAGGAGGTGGTCCCAAGAGAGAAAGAAGGGAGCCGTATCAGCACCTCTGCAAACAGCTGACATGTCCAGGAGTGGGGGGGGGGGTGACAGCCCAGTTTCCCATAATGACCTTGAGTTGAACAGAATTTGGCCATACTTTTGAATAATAATAAGCCTCAGGGTACTAAAGGGCCCCAAGTAAGGGCTTTCTTTAAGGAACACACAGGATCCAAGAATTCAGAATTTCCTAACCAGCAAACCGCTCTTTGTACAGACAAGAGTGCCAAGGTTGCAGGGACAGGGAGAGTCACCCGCAGGGTCTTGCAGGGCAAGGCTTATGCTAGGTCAAGCCCGCTGCCTTCCTTCATTTTCTGTGCCCTCCTGGGACTCCTCCCCCAAACAGTCCTGCCCACCCCGCTTCCCAAAGGCTTCAGGCTCGTCAGGCTGCTCACCCACTCTCCAAAGCTTTTGAGCTTGACATGGTTTGAACAGGAGCCTGGGAGGTGGAGGAGTTGGAAGTCTTTTCAGTGGCTCTTCCTGACTTTAGTCCGGTAGCCCCAGGATAAGAACCCTGGGCCCTGCAGAAGCAGGCGCACTGATGCGCAGGCCCAGTAGGGTGCAAACCGGCTTTGAGTCCTACCTACTTTGCTATTATTGAATTTCCAGTCTGTAGTAGGCATGCAGCCCTGTTCCTGGAACATCTTCGAGGAACTAGTCCTCTGGATGGATTTGTGAATCCTGCGCTCCATGCCTTCCATTCGGCCGGTCCCCTTCCTTCCCACAGCCTACAGTGCAGGCCCATCATTCCCTTGACAGTGGCCGTAGAGACTCAGCTCAGCAAAGTACTTGTGGCGTCTGGCAGGTACCTAGCCCAGCTAAGCCCGTGGGGAGCAAAGCAAAGAGAAGCAAAACCCAGAGACACCGCCAGGTGCTAAGAGCAAAGGCAGATTGCCCCCTGTGGCCTCCGTAACAGATTACCCAAACTGAGTGACTTAGATAACAGGTCACATTGTGAAAAGAATGTTTGTTCCCTATCGCTGATCATCGTGGTCTTTCTTGCTAGTCATTTCCCAGCTCCAGGTTGGAAAATATGCTGTGTTGTCTTTCCATGGGATGACCACACCCTCTTCCAAACAGCTGTCCACCCTGAATGTACTTCAACGGTTAACGTTTTCCCCCTGAAGCTTTCCAGAGACTGAGGGTCCCAGTTCCCTAACTAGACTGTCGAGCAAAATTTCATGATTTCTGTCCTAATGTCCGCTTGCTAGACCTAAAAATAGTGCCTAAATCCTCAGTCCCACCTGGCCTGACCTTCGTCTAACTGACCCACTGCTAATTCTTCAGACTTCATGTTCTTCTGAGATTTTATTTTTTCAGACCCAAGTGCACTTGTTTGTGACTTCACAGAGCCCTTTGGGTCTACTTAGATGCTACCAGGAGTGCCCTGAAATTTATCATTACAGTTAAGTCCTGTGGTTCATTTCTGTCTTGTCAAGTGTTGATACCATCATTTTGAGAAAAGTATCTTCCCTGTATTGATGAGAAAGTGTCTCCTCTACCCAGGAAAGGTGTGTGATTGTCATAATCACTGTAACTCCTCTCTGAAGGCACCACCTCCAAAGGGTCCCAGCAGTCCAACCTCCTTCCTCCGTACCTTGGACCAAACCATGCCCACACCGAGAACGTCCGTTCTCCTGCTGCCTTTGCAGATGCAATCTAAAAATACACAGTGAATATCAGACACTCAGAACATTTCAAACATTGTCCGGATAAACCATGCAAGTCAGGAAGCAAGTGAAGCCAAACGGAAACAAGAGAACTGAATCTATTTCGATACAGGCACACATTTGCACACTCAAATGTGTGTTCATCCACCACAGCGTTCCCTAAAATGAATGCTAAATAGAATTTGAAATAGGCACATGCCTGGTTTCTCAAGAGAGTGCCAAGGTACCAGAATGGGTTAGCAAGTGAGTGGTTGGCATCAACTTATTCATTCATTTACATATTCACACACTGAGCAAGTTTACTGTGCATCTACTATGTGCCAGGCACTGTTCTGAGCACTGAGACTGGGGAAACAGCAAAAGATAAAAATCCTCACCCATGTAGAACCCTGAGCAAGAAAGAGATGATGAATGAGATAAATCCAGTGGTGTATGAGACTGCAGCTTGTGCTGAGAAGGGAAATAGAGCACGGAGTTCAGACAGGAGAAGGGTGGAATTCTAGAGAGGACAGCAGGAAGGCCACACTGAAAGGGGTTTTGAGTGACGAAAGACCGCCACACAGGTCTTAGCAAGGTCACCTGGCTGCTATGGTGGGAAGCGGGCGAGGGTGTCACACCTGGAGTGGGGAACCAGATAAGAGGAAGCTGGCACCCATACCCCACCCCCAGGAACCGCACACCAGGCTGCTTCGCTCCCCTGAGGGCTGTGCAAAGCTCAGGACCTCGTGTATCACTGTTCAGGGACTTTCCTGTGTCTTCAGTCAGGTGGCAGCACGGGGCTGAGGGGCATCCAGGTGGGCAGGTGACAGCTATTGACCCCCTAGACTGGTGCAAGGGCTTCTGCAGGGCTACCAGGCTCGCAACTGGGCCCTGAGCTGTTCTTCCGGGAACCCACTCAGAAATGGTGACCAGCGCTAAGGTGACATGGCTCTGAGCAATTGTAACCGTGTTGCTTCCCCCGCTGATCCAGGAAGGTCAGCCTTGGAGATGTCACAGGGAGCCACATAGACCAGGGAACCTTAGCATTCCTGGAGCAATGACCATCCCCAGATTGAAAAATCCGCTGGCACTTTGGGAGGAAGAGCAGACTCCAGCCAGGTGACTTTTAATGGCAAGAAAGCTTAACTCTCCCTGAAGATCAAATAAAATCCACTGCATTTGGATCCCGGATGCAGTGATGCTTTTCCATGCTGCATGGTCCAAGGGCTCCTGGAGCACTGTTGTCAGCACAATCCAGACTTCGAGAGTGTCATGGAGCAGCTGGACGGTGTCCAGGGAGTAGGCTTTGGAGGATGAGGACTAGAACCATGGCTTTGGTTGGGTGGCAGATCCACAGGAGTGTCATTGGCTGTGTAAGAGGTAGGGGACAATATCCACCACCCTCCTATGCCTTGTAGGCATGAATCTATTCCAGAAGGTTCTGGAAGGCTGTACCAGCCCTGTAGAGAGCTCACCATGTAGACCTGGGGCCTGCAACAGGGACACCTTCCCGCCCTTTGGAGCTTTCTGCGAATGAAGAGGCTGCTCTTCAAGCAAGTAAAGGGGGAGAGATTCCTGCATGGGGGGGTGCGTGAGGGTGACCTCCCGGGTCCCTTCCACTCCTTACATTCTATGAGTCATCAGCAGCAGAATGACATCTACAACAGTAACCCAGACAGGGGCAGGGGGCAGGACCAACACTTAATCAACCAGCACTTAAAAATGAAAAGAAGGCATTTTCAGCATGATCTCACCAGGGTCTCTCCGCAGTGACGTGGTTCCTTTGACCACATTTTCCAGGGTGCTGGGAGAAGGGGAGGAGGGGGCCGGCGTGCTCACCCCCTTTAGTCTGAACTTCAGTCCCTCAGTCGTGACTCAGAGCCCCGCGGCTCCCAAGTGATGGTTGGGGTTCTCTGGGCTTCTGTGGTACACGGGTCGTATGTGTCACTGGCGATGTGTCCGACTGTTGTGATGCTTATGACTGGGATCGTGTACACTACCGGCATGGTATGTGACTCCAGTACCACACGTGGCTGTGGTGCTGTATGAGACTGCAGCGACACACACATCGCAGGCAACATGCATGACTTTGACTCCACAGGACCGCCGCGCAGTGACTTTCCCCGTTCGCTGTTTGCCGCTCCTCCATGGCTTTGCTCAGACTTGGCTATGACCACTTCTGAGACGCAGGCGCAGTAAGGCGCTCTAGGACACATCTCGGGAGGCGGAGGTTGCACCCAGGATTCCCAGCTTCGAAAACAGACCTTTCCTCACCAGGACAGATAATCTCAGCCAGTCCCAGCCTGCCTCTGTCAGGGTTAGGGAGAGGTCAGGAGACCAACTGTTAAATCCCAGGCCAACGCACAGAGGACTCTGGAGGAGAGTTTGATAAGCAGTGTGTGACTCACAGGGTGCAGGCAGGGGTGCACTTAAATCCACTTTTACAGAAACCTTGTCAGAGCCCTGAGCAGTGGTGTTTGCATCCAGGGCACGGAATGCTTGCCAAAGGATTAAGGTAGTCAATAGCTATCAGGGTTTACACCAAAGAGCCAGCTGATAGGCAGGAGAACTGCACAGTTGAATTCTTTCACTGGACAAGAGGTGTGGCATCTTAAAGGTACAGGGACCCAGTGTTAGGGATTCGCAAAAGTTCCCTCCAGCCCAGCCTGAGGTCACTAAGCTGGATTCACAGAACAGACCTGAGAGCTTTGACTGGACAGAGAAGAGAGAGAGCTGTGCACAAAGGGAAATCTTGGAAGACTTCCTAAAGGAGGTGTCCACCGAGGGGGTGGCAGTGAGTCAATCTCTGGCTGGTGGTAGAGCTCTGCAGGGATCTGAAGCAACTTATGAGCCCCGTCCCAGGAAGGATGACAGCAACACAACGTGCCTGCCCTAGATATCTAAGACGGCTGGGACGAAATCCATCAATACCCTTCCAAGCACTTAGTGCTAACAGTGCTCAGCCTGACAGAGGCCACTGGGTCTAAGTACTGCTCTGAGAAATGTGACCTCGAATCCACTCTTCAGTGGCCTTTTGTCCACGCTGACAAGTGCCCCAGGGGAGGAGGGTGTAGGTCACTGTCCTCTGCCACTATGTCCCACCCCACCAGCACCTTAGCCCCAGCAGACCGGGAGGCAGCCCTCAGCAGCGACCAAGCTTTCCAAGTGGCTGGCAGAGCACCCTAGGGCGTCCCAGAAGGAGATGCCTCGAGGAGCTGGAGCAGGTAGAGTTTGAGGGGTCCCAGCCTCCACTTCGCTAAACCAGCTTCACTTCCGTTTTGTAGCTTAGAATTCCATGTCAGATGTTTGCGTGCATTTGAAAGCACACATTTTTTTTTCACGGCTTTAGAAAAGGAACAAGTGAGGCTTGACAAAAACAATTCTAGGAAGTCACTAGCTGCAGTTCCTCTCCCCGGGTAACCCCTGCCCCAGTTTGCTCAAGGGCATCTCCTTTTGCCTCAGTCTTCAGCGCTGTACCCCAAGGTGAGGTAGCTCATGGACTGAAATGCCCTCTGCTACCTTGTGCCTTTGCTCTCAGGGAGGGTCCTCTACTGCCCCCCAGACCAGACAGCCCCCCACTAAGGCCTCTCTTCCACCACTACCAGCCCACAAGTTCCACCCCCGAAGTCCTCTCCCGGGAACCAAGCCCAATGTGACTGGCCAGAAAGGACACCGAAGACCTCTGCCCACCCATCTATCTCCAGAGACCCAGCACTGAGAGAGTATCCCTTGGCAAAAGCAGCCCTAAAAGCCCAGGCCAACAGGAGCCCTAAAGCCCTTGTCACAGTGGCCAAGATCTTTGGAGTGGCAGAGGACAGCTCACCGGCCGGAGCACTGTGCAATTCCTAGTGCAGCCAGGACTGGTAGGATGTGGCTCCTGATCCCATAGATCTTAGGGGGCCTCCCGTGGACCTGCTGTATGATACCAAGCAAGCGACAATATCTCACTTGGTGTTGGTTCCTCGTCAGAAACATGAAGGTGTAAAAATTTAGTGAAATTACATGTATAAAGCTCCTGATTCACTATGCGCGCATTTGCAAGAAATGACTACTTCTCATTAGGGACAGTGACAGAGGAGGGGGCAGCAGACAGCGCTCCTCCAGCCACAGCTGTGCACCTTTTGCATAGAAGCAAAAAGCAGAGAACCCGCCCGCTGCCATACTGGGTTCCCCCAGGAGGGGGAGAATTCTGCCAGGCCACAGAAGCCCGGAGACTCTTGGCCCCTGACCTCTCTGGAAGTCCATGGGAGGCTCAGAGCCTGGCATCTTCCCTGTCGTGATGCTGGTGACAAGAGCCACTTTCTGCATCAGCAGGGCCGGTCCGGCCTTTCTGCCGCCTGAGCTGGGGCTGGCAGAGCCGGGCCAGGGTGGGGCTTCCTCCACCCGCTTCTCCTCAGGCCTTAGTCATTTCCGTCTCCGGGTCCTACTGGCTCAATTGGTCAGGGCTGAGCTGTGGTGAGGCCAAAGCCAGCGGTTACTGTGGCAACCCATCATGCTTTGAGGCTGCCTGTTCTTTCAGTTCTACAAAAGATTCTGAGACCGGAGGGGACAGGAAGTGTATTCCTCTTACTCCGGGTATTCCCGGCACTTGGCCCAGTGTCTGTACACCGTTGGCACTTAATAAATGTTTCTTGCCTGAATAAATGCATGATCAACCCATCAGAGCTGGTGAGAGCCAGCGCTTACTGAGCACCTACTACATGGGGTGGGGCTTGTAGGCACTTTGCACACAGCAAGGCCATTGACTGCCCACACCACCGGCCAGCACAGGGCCATTATCAGGTGCTAAAGACAGAGATGCCGAGGATCAGCAACTTAACATCACACAGCCAGAAAGTGACTGGGCAGCATCTGACCCCCCACCTGCTCCTCACCAGCAATTTTTGTAGCCTCTCAATTAACCATCGCAGGGAGGAGAACATATTTATGGCCCCAGAGAGCCTGCGCAGGCGTGTCCTTAGCGGCCAGTGTGTCTAACCGGGTCAGACAGATGCCCGGTGTCAGCCGGTCTAGAGGTGTCCTTCACGTTGGTTCGCAGGCTCTAGGGCCCACAGGGCCCAGGTAGGGCTAATGTCCAGCCTGGCTCCCGAGGCTCAGTGTCACCGGCCTCTGTCTCTCAGGCTCTGCTTTGTTTGCTCCCCCACTTTTACCAGACTTCTCTGCCATGGCGCTGCTCACCATTGCTCCTGTCTTAAATATCCCACTCACACCCCAGTGGACAGACAGATCCTCTGCCCAGCGGTTCTGCCAGGAGCAGGAATGCAGTCCCTAGCAGGGCGGAGCTCTGTTGGACTGGGCGGCTGCGGCTACAGGCTGGCCTCACAGTCAGGTGTGCGTGGCCCCTCGCCGTGCCAGGGAGTGTAAGTGGGGTGTGTGTGGATTTCTCCTGGGGGCGCTGTGACTGGGAGTGAGGGCATCGGGGCGGACGTCCGGCTTCAGTAACCCCAGATGGAAACTGCCTGAAGGCCCAAGCTGCCCGTGCAGCCAGCCCAGCCCCCCAGGTCTGGCCTGCAGACTTACAAGGCCATTTGCTGACACCCAGGGCAGCATAGCACCAAAGGCAGCGTGAGCTCCATTCACACGGGCAGGCGATCCTGTCCGACATGCCCACTGCGTCCATCCACTCTTGCTGCTGTATCACTGTCTTGTGGTTGCAAAGGGCAGTCTGACCTGGCCTGTCTGGGCCACTTCTCTGTCAACACATGACAGAGCGGGCAGGGAGCTCAGGGACAGCAAGGCACAGGTTCAGGGTGGACGAGGGGCCCTGTGCTGTGAGAGGTCACTCCTCCTTGACTGGCACATAGAGAACCTCGCCTCCAGCACCATCCCCTGAGCCTTTGGGTTGGCGGAAGTGTGAGTGTGCACACGTGTATGTGCATAGGGTTTCCATTCTTAAGGAGCCAGTGCGACCGATGTAGCAATTCAAGATTCTGAGTTCAGGAGTCAGAAGCACCCAAGTCTATACACTGGCTCTTCTGCTCATTACTGTGTGACCCTGGACAAGTTGCTGGACCTCTCTGATCTCTTTCCCCACCTACCCAATGAGGATTCAGTGAGATAATACATGTAATGTTCTGAGCACAGAATGAGCGCTCAGCCTGTGTTGGCCGCGACAGTGAGGCTATGTCCAGGCGTATCTGCCCCAGCCCTGTCCTGCGCCTTCCTCAGGCATCTCCAGGGCATTTCTGCAAGACTGGTTTGTTTCCTCTGTTTTAAGAGTGCTGATAGGTTAGTGTGTGAGGAGAGACTTTGGAGTGGATACATTCCACTGTGGGCTGCAGGCCTGGACAAGTCCCTTCCATGAGCTGTCACTTCAAAGGACCGCTAACTTGATGGCTTAGAATGATGCAGTGTTACTGTCTGACAGCTCTTGGGGTCAGAAATCCTACTGGGGTGTCACTGGGCAAACACAACAGGGCAGCGTTCCCTTGGGAAGCTGTGGAGGAGCCTTCCAGCTCCTAGAGGTTGCCTGCAGCCCTTGGCTCATAGCCCCTTCCTCCATCATCAGTCAGACAATCTGCCATCTGACATTCTCCCCTTGTGACGTCTCCCTCCCATGTTTCTGCCCCTGGCCACATTTCATCCCCTGTGATTACATCGGTCCCACCACAACACCCCAGGACCACCTCTCCATATTCAGGTCAGGCTATCGGCAACTTGAATTCCAGCTGCGGGCTTAACCGCCCCTTGCTGTGTAAGGCGCCATAGTCGCAGGGGCTGAGGAGGAGAGCATGACCTCTCAGGGGCCTGTGATCCTGCTGACCCTTCCCCAAGCCTTGGTTTTCTCATCTATACGGTGGTGGTGTTGGTCCCAGCAGAGACCTGGGGGTGATTTCTTGAGATGGCTGAGCGCGCTGGCCAAGGATAGGAAACTGTTGATTGGATCTGCCCTGAGCACCTGCTAGATGCAAAACTGCCTTCCAGATGCCAGAGGTTCCCCAAGGATGGAAGACATCAGCATCCCTGCTGTAGAGCAGTTGACGATGTAGCTGGAGCTGTAGAAAATCATTGGACAGAGTTTGCCTGCGGACAGAAAGAGAAACACTGTACCCTCCCCCACCCAGGGCTCTGGGTTACCCCTGCCCCAGGACTTCCTGCAGGCGAGGGGGCGGGAAGGGCACCTGGGGGTCTCTCCTAGGTCGCAGGCGCCAGGTGGGCATTGCATAGGTGTGGCACAGGCACCGTCTCGCTGGGCAGATGGGCCAGCAGCCTGCAGTGGCACGGTGGTTGCAGAGGTGGCTGTATGGGGCAGATCGTGGTGACAGGCAGCTCTGAGCACAGGCAGGGCTTCCGGGTGGTCTTGACATCACGGTTGTTAATAAAATGCTTCCCCATTGCTAAGCACTTTCCACGGAACAAGCTGATTTGCTCCTCAGAACCACCCTGTGAGGCACCCACTATCACCGTTCCCATCTTAAAAGTGCAAGGACTAAAGCTCAGAGAGGTGAACTGTTTAGCTCACATAGCCCCGGGATTCAGATCCAGGCTGAGAAAGGAAGCCTGGCTCTGCGTAGGATCAGGTCTGAGGCAAAGCAGAGAGGGGGCAGTGGAAGCGGCAGAGGGCAGAGGGAAGCACACATGTAGAGCAGCACAGGTGAGAGAGGTCGGTTCCTCCAGGGACCTAAGAGAGTTTGTCTAGCCAGGCACAAACGCATGTGGGGAGAGGTGAGGGCTCGGCAGTGCTGGGTGTCTGTGGGGTGGAGTTTGGAGAGCACTAGGGAGCCACTGAAGTTTCTATAGGATACATGATGATACCACATTAGTGAAAGGGAGAGGACCCTGCTTTTCCCATGGAATCCTCAGATGGTGGAGGGGTGGGACGCTCTCTGAGGACCACTGAGATTCACTATCTGCAGGGGCGTGCTAGGGAAGCCCTGCCTCGCCTGGCCCTGAGCAGAGCCCCCCGCAGGTGTGTAGGCTGTGCTGACCAGGCCGTTTCCTGTTGCCATGTCCTACTTCCCCTCAATGCCCCAGCCGTCCAAGCTGATAGCATGATGCCGGTCAGCCGGCAGAGTCAACTCCATGGCAGCTGACCTTCGTCCTCACGGAGATTAAGCTGATTCCTCATTAATGACCTGTGGGATACTTACCTTGGTCCAGTTTGCAAGTAATGTAAGGCTCGTCCTTGGAGGCTGGTCCATGAATTATGCCTAATTAGCTGGAGGTCTCCCTGGGACATGCCGGTCCCGGTGTATTCTGGGAACGCAAGGTCTGTGACTCCGGGTCACACTGGGACATGAAAGAGATGCTGAGAGAGTCGCTCCAGGTAAAAGTTCACCTTTCCTTTTCCAAAAAGGCAGCTGAATTCTCACCTCTCCAGCAGCTCCCAGAAGTGTCACCTACCAGCGTAAGCGGCCCAGCTTAGCCAGTCCTGGCCAGGCTCTTGATGATAACTTACAGGCCAGGTGTTTTCTGGCTCCAGAGTTTAGAGTTCAGAGATGCCGCGCGTGGTGGCGCACACCTGTAATCCCAGCACTCGGAAAGCTCAGCCAGGAGCACCGCCGTGAATTTCAGGCCAGCCTGAGCTATAGAGTGAGACCCTGTCTCAAAAACAAACAAACAAAAAACCCAGCCAGTAGTGGTGTCCACAGCAAGGTCTAGGTCAGCCCCCAGCCAAGCCCAGGGATGTTCACAGAAGTGCGATGCAGAGACAGGAACGGCCTTCCGTGAGGCTTCTGGTTAGGCCTGCCCCAAATGGATGAGTCAAAGTTAAGACAAAACGTGGGACTTTTAAGCCTTGGGCGTTTGGAGACCTGGAATGGGGGCTGTGGGCCTCACTGTTACACCCAGAGCAGCCCCTGAGGAAATAACTTTCGCCCTTATATCTAATCTGCGTGCGTGCTAGCTGCATTCATGTACCGTATCGTAATTTCAGAAGGTGACGTAGGGCTGTAGTGACGTGAAACAGCAGTGTGAGAGACAGGGACTTCAGTATCAGCTCCAGTGAAGAGAGCTGGGACTGGAGGGCTGAACCGCACCTCGATGCGTTCCGGGCTCAAACGTCAGGGGTCACTTGTAGGCTCCCCACCCCCACAGGCAGGGTGGCAAGGGAACCCCAGCGGGATCTCCTCGGACCCAGGGGACTTCACCTTGATACTCCGTACCCCAGCTTCTCCCAGTAAACGCAGGGCCATGTTGGCAGGCAGGGGGTGATGGGAAGGGCTGCCCCAGGCTCTCTGAGAACCCCTGCCTTCCCCCGAGGCCGGGCCCCAGCACCTGAGGCCTCTGAGCCACCCTTGAGGCGGGGAGTGTGTTGTTGCACTTTTGACCTTCCCCACGCCAGCACAGGGAGGCCAGTTGGAGACGGTGGGGCCCAGAGATGCCAAGTGACTCATCCAAAAGTCACACAGCAAATCAACTCCAGAGCAGATTCCTTGAGGCCCCAGCCAGGCTGCTTTTCCCTGGCAAGCACTCCTAGGCCAGGTCTCGAGCGGTGCCTGGACACTGCAGTTCAGGGCCTCCGGGAGCTCCTTGGAATAAACTGGTGGGCCTGGAAGGAGGGGGCGTTGGGAGGCTGTAGGGACACCGGAGACATCGCTTTGTAGCTGAAGCCTATTGTTCACCCCACCCCAAAGCCAAAAGCCAAGGCAGCAGATTCCCGCTCCGCCTTGCAGAGGGTCAGAGCTGACCCCAGAGGCCCAACCCTTGGCTTTGGAGGCCCCTTGGGGAGGCGGGGACTGGGTCCCCGGCAGGGAGCCTGACCGCAGATGGGTAGAAGCCGCCGGCCCTGGGGATGCTCTGGAGGAGGGAGGCCTCCAGCTGGGCCGGTGCCTGCAGCGCGGAGGAGGGCGGCGGACGGTTCACCGGGCGGCCAGCAGACTGGCTGCGTGTTGCAACGTCTGGTGGCGTTCGAAGCATCCTGTTGGGCGCAGCCGGGCGAGGAGCGTGTGCGGCTGGAGGCCGCTGGCACCTCGCATCCCTTCGGCAGCTCCGGGTTCAGCCGCAGGTCAGCGGCGCGCATGACGTCACGAGTTTGTTTACCGCAGGTCTGGTCGCCAAGGAAGGGCCGGACTCCGGGGTGGCGGGAGGGGGATCCCTGTCCTACCCCGAGCCCCGGCTCGGCTGAGCCCAGCCCCTGGCCCGGCGCCCTTCCTTACCCCACCTTGCCCCCTCCCCATCTGCACCCAGGATCCCAGTGCGACCCTCCTCACCGCCAGCCATGCCACCTCTGCACCCAGGACCCCAGCCTCATCTCCATATCAACATCAGCGAGCCCTCCCCGTTTACTTCCCAGCCTCGCCGCCCTACCTACCCCTTCCCCATCGCCGGATGGGACTCTGGCCCAACCCCTGCCCAGCACCGGCCCTGCCCTGCCCCTTCCGGGACCCGCCGGAACCCCCTCTCCAGGCAGGCGGCTCGCTGCCACCCTGTCATGTGAGCCGCTGGCCTGTGCTCCTGCGCCCCAGCCGGCAGGCTGCAGCTCCCTGGCTGTCTGGGAGGGTGGACGCCGGCCGCTGTTATTGGAAACCGCTTCCCAGCTAGGTGGGCAGCAGGTTTGCGTGCAGCCCCGCAGTCTGGCTCCCTGTTGCTGGACAGCGGCCCTGTGTACCTGTGGGGCTGGGCCACTTAGCATGTCCCCTCTCCCTCTGCGCGGCCAAGTGCTCTGGAAGCTGAGGGAAGGGACCGGGCAATTCAAGCAACTTTCTTTTCCTAGATCCCTGGAGCTTGCCCCAGCCCACCTGCCCAGGAGCGGGAGGCTGTGCTGCTCAAGGCCGTGCTGCAGCCCTTCCTGCATGCTCTTGAATCCCCCTCCTCCCATCCACCCAACACCCAGCCCCAGACCCGGCAACCCCTAACCGGCCCCTCCACTGCCGTGGTTCCCACTGGTCCCAAACTCCATTCCAGCGGCAGCTACTTGGCCCAGAAGCCCAGGCAGAGGCAGTTATTTCTCCACTCTTAACCCTCCCCAAAAGCACCCCTATCTCCCCCAGGGTCCAATTCCAGGTCCCACTGTGGCTGGAGTCTCCCACTCAACTCTGCCACACGGGATTCCTTGCCCACCACACCAAGCTCATTCCCACCCCAGGGCCTTTGAGCTGCTGTCCTGCCTGCCTCTGCCCTCAGACATCTGCATGACTCCCTGCTTCACTTCCTCAGGTCTCTGCTGAAATGTCACCTCGTGCCAGAGGTCCCCTCCCCTACCTGAAGGCCACCCGTGCCCACCGCCTCCACCACACCCCCAAAACTTTGTGCTCCTCCCGTGCACTTTCCGCCACCTCTGCTTATTATATAGTCCACTGTTCATGCGTCTGCTGTTCTCTGTCTAATACATATGTGAAAGCACACGCCGCAAGAATGAAAACACAAGCCGTTTGCTCCCTGTTGTGTCCCAGGTCCCAGGACCAGTTACCACTCAGCAAATACTCCAGGAAGGAGGAAAGGAAGGAAGGAAGGAAAAAGGGAGGGAGGGAAGGAGGAGGACCGGGTATTAAAAGAACTTGGCTTGGGCGTCCAAGTTCAAATGTTGCTTTGGGAGGTCCGCCTGCGGGAGTTACTTAGGCTGAGTTAGAATCCACGTCGCAGGAAGGTCATACAGAAATTGTGCTCTGGGCCTGAGAGCAATCTGTAAATGCTGGCTCCTCCCTCCCGGCCCCTCCCTACCCCCACTCAGCCACCCCAAGGTCACCTGGCTTCTCCACCGGGAGGTCCAGCTGGAGGAACTGGAGCCCAGGTCAAGGCTGTGGCCTGAGTCCTCCAGCCCTGTGCTCTGCGCAGTACGGTCGGAGGGAGGCGCAGCCCGCGGGCTTGTTGGATAGGCTCCTGATGTTTGTAGAGAAAATGGTGCGTAAGGTTCTGGCTGAAGAGAGAAGGAGACCTGTGATTGCCTCTGTGGAGAGTTTTCTGAGTGGACCCAGAACCAGCATGGTTCCTGAGAATCACAGCAGGGGTGCGGTGGGAACACCACCAAGTGGTCACACTCCATTTCCGAGCTCTTGCTGACCCCTGGCAGGTGGCAGTTCCAGAGGTGGAAGGGAGAGCACTTGGTCCTCAGGGACATGAGGTGGCCACCACGGGAGACAGGCGAGTCTCAGCGGGAGGGAGAAGAGACCAGGAGGGCAAATAAAGCAGCCGCTGGGCTGGAGCAGGCGTTAGATGGACAGCATGCTTTACAGGAGGGCTTCTTGGGCAGGCCCTGGGTAGAGCCTGAGGGGACAAAACCTCAGGGAGGAGGACAGCGCCCTGCAGTAGGAGGGAAGACCACATAGCCCTCAGGGAGAGGAGCGGAAGAGTGAGATGGGGACAGATGGGAAAGGGCCTGCTAGATTTCCCTCTGAGTCAGAGGGGGAGCCACTGTGCACGGAGAGCAGAGTGGCGAGGTGAGACTAATGTTCTAGAAAGATCTTCCTGGCCCCATTGAGAATGGACAGGGAAAGGGATGGAGCAGGTTGTCCAGGGCAGTGGTCCTGCTGGTGGGGAACGGCTGGGCCCAGAGTGGCACCATTGGGGAGGGAGAAGGGGTCACCTTCTGGGTTTCAAAGGTTGGAATAACAGGGTGATCTGACCTCGAAAACCTTAACTTATATCTGCAAAGACCTTATAACAGACTTATCAACACAAAGCTTAAAGGCCAGGACAGCTTGGACTACAGTGTTTCAAGATGATATATCCTGCAAAAAACATCTTTCACAGTTAATGGAGAAATAAAATCTTTCCATGACCAAGAGCACCTTAAGAAACTCAGGGCCACCAAACTAGCATTCCAAAAAGTTGACAGTGAAGCCAACAATTCCCAAAAGTCTAGTGGAATGAATGTACTAGGGGTCTTTTGGGACCAGGGGCAGAAGGTTATGACTTGTGTCTAAATGTCCCCCCAAAGCCTCCTGCAGTCATAGGCAGAACTTTTGGAGGCAGCTGGACCTAGAATGTGTGATGCTGGGATTAGAGATGGGATGCTGGGGTTGATTCATGGTGCAGTGCTAGGATTAGGATGCCCCTAATGGGTGTGAGGGTGGGTAGCCTGGATATAATATAAGGGACAAAAAAAGGGCTGCTGCTGTTGCTCTTGGTCACTTGCTGCTACACTACTTCACTGCCTGCTGCCTTTTGCTTTGCTGCCCTCTGCCCACCATGAACTGTTTCTCCTCTGTGATGCCCCTGGGCCATGTGTCGCTCTGCCTTGGAGCCAGCCAACTATGAACTGAAACCTCTATGAGTTGTGAGCTAAAGTAAGCGTTTCCTCCTTTTAAAAAAAGACCTTTTATCCAAATAAGAGCACACTCACGGGTTCTGGAGGACATAGTTTCTTGGGGGGTACACATCATGCCCCATACCAGCTCCTGGCCAGTTGTGAAAACTCATTCTGAAGTACAGAAGAGAGCCCTGGAAATGTTAGCTGTGGCGTCCCTCCCCACCCACTTGGGGACCAAGGGTGCCCTGGCAAGTGCACCCCAGTCGTCAGCTGTGGCACTGTGCTAACCCATGCCCGGGATGGTAGTTCCCATCCCCACCTTACCCTGCAAAGCCCCAGTGTCATGGGGTGCCATGGGTGAGGATTGTCACTGTCCCCCACACTACAGCCATGTGGCTCTCAGGGCCATGAGCTGTACCAAGACAGGGTGGCACCCTCCCCTCCTTTCCGGGGAGGTGGACCCCTCACCATCCAGTCCCAGGCACACCCATGTGCTCAGGGTTACCTGGGCAGTGAGTTTGGACTGTGTTTCAGAGGGTCCTTTTGCTCCTGCAGGAATCAGTGGCTGAGGACACCGCCTTAGGAATCTGGCAGCACAGCCGGGGCATCCAATTCCAGGAGCTTGAAGTTGTCCATGCCTCAGTTTCCTTATGCAGAAATGGGCATGTGCCGCTCCTAGAGCTGTCAGAGGACCGGTGCTGGACCCCAGCCAGTGGCTGAGGACAGCTGCTGGTAGTGAGTACCGTGGATGTGCTAGAGCTCACGGTCACCCCTGTGGCTCTCAAGAGAACCAGTTCCAGGCTGGATGCCTGCCTGGAGGAAGTCTCTGCCGAGCTCCAAGCTGTGGCCAAGGACTTGTGGGAGGGCCACACTACCAGCTGATCTAATTTGAGGAGCTTCCTAACAATCCTGTCCCACAGAGCCCATGGTCACTAAAACATTCCCTGCAGGCCGAGCTGGGCCCTGAGCCAGCACAGACCTCTTGCACAGCTCCAGGGGAGAGCCCCGGCTGTCCCTGTTTGGCCCAGCAGTGCAGGACCAAGAAGGACAGCAAAGATGTGACCCAGGTCCCTGACAGAGAGGCCTAGTGGGATTTGTTATCTCCGACCTCCTGAGGTCGGCAGTGGTACAACTATAGGAGAAATGATCAAAATCTTCAGTGAATATTCAAATTTTTTAAATCTAAGGGTTCATTACAAGAAAAGATATTGCCACAATGTCCTTCAAAATATCCACTTCCCCTTAGCTGAATGTGGTGGTGCTAGCCTGTAATTCCAGCACTTGGGAGGCTGAGGCAGAAGGATTGCTGAGTGTTCAAGGCTAGCCTGGGCTACGTAGTAAGTCCAAGACCAGCCTGAACTGCATACTGAGACCCAGTCTCAAAAAACCAAATAAATATAAATAAAATTTTTAAAACCCAAAACATTTCCCCTTCTTGCTTTCCAAAGCAGTTCTGGAAGGCCCCTTCATGAGCATCTTTACAAGGTGTGATCAAAAACACAGTGACCGGTGCTGCCGCGTGTCAGCCAGTGGAAAGGCAGACTTGTAGGAAGATAACTGTGTTGTCATCCACCTTAGTGGCTGGATCTGGCACCAGACCACTTCCAGCTCTTCCCCAAAGTCAGAATGACCATGAAAGGTAAACATTCTGAGTCGATTCAGACAGCTGTGACAAGGCAAGTGAAGATGTGAAAGAGGACGTCCAGAACTGCTTCAGAAAGTAGCAAGAATGATGGGATAAGTGTGTTTGAAGCAAGGGGGAGAATGAGGCGGGGATTTAGCTGAGCGGCATAGCACCTGCCTGGTAAGTGCGAGGTCATGAGTTCAATTCCTGGTACAAAAAAAAAAAAAAAACTGTGAAGCAAGGAGGAGGATTTTGAGGGCAATTAATTAATGACAGTGTGTCTATTACTGTAATAAAAAGGTTTTAATTTAAACATTCACCGCGGTTTTCAATCACGCTTTGCAGAATACATGCCGCCTATTTTCATTATCATTAACACGGCGACAGACACAGATCCAACCCCTGTTTGTGGAAGATCCCACTGCCCTGCAAAACTACAGTCGCTGGGGGGATGCTGCTGGAGACCCCAGCCTGGGGCTCCATGTCTGGCCTCCCCCCGACCCGACCTGGCTGAAAGCAGAGAATTCTCCTCGCACCCTTGCCCGAGAAGGCGCAGCCTGCAGCGTGCAGACAGCGCAAAAGGGGCACCCGGAGAAAAAGTGGAAAGGGTTAGGAAGTCTGGAAAGGAGGCATCTCAGCAGCACCCAACAGGACGATCGTTTTGAAAGGCTGCCTTTTGGAAGCGGAAGGGCCGGCGGGCTTCTGGCTGGGCCTGGGTGACAGACCAGCGCTGGCAATGGGGGAAAGTTGAGGAGTGCTGGGGAAGCAGACAGCATCCACCGCAGGGAAGAGGCCTCCTAACAGTGCTGGGTTGGGGCTCAGATCAGAGCATAGCTTCCAACTTCCATCATCATTAGCAGTAGTAACAATATTTTCTAGCCACAGTCTTTGAAAAAGTGCCAGTGCTCCGGATAACCAGGACAGGAAGGAAGGGGAGGCCTGGCACCATGTCTGCCAAGCCCCCTTCCTATCAGCAGCCCAGAGGCTCCCTCTAGAATCCTTAGGGTCCCCCAAACCCAGCTTCAAAACCCGTTTGCCCCAAGACGTCCGGCCAAGGGATGACCTGCAGCCCGCCCTGCAGGGGGCAGCTTGGATGACTGTCCTGACCAATGGATGAAGGAAGGAGTCTTCCAAGTCGGGGGAAGAACGGGGATGATGAGATCCCTCTGAGTCTGTGATCTTATCCTGGTCAAAACTGTGTCCAGAGGAAGCAAGACAGAGAGCCCTGCTCCGGGCCTTTGGACAACTGTCACCCCAGTGCCGCTACCCCTGTGGATCTTCTCTGAGCAGGGGAATCTGTTTCTGTCGCTGTGTTGATGATAATCATCATCAATATCATCATAACAATAGCCAGCACTTGTCACACCGTTTCTAACCTGCCGGACTCCCTTCTAAGTGGTGCTTTAAACTCTACACACAGAGGCCAAGAGGGCTTTCTGAGCTCGTTCAACTCCTATGTGATAGGTCAAAGAATTGAAGCCAGACACAG